CCCCCCCCCCTTACTTTCTTGGAAGGCAAGCCAGAGTCCCTAGTAGTCTGAAGGCCATCAGTTTCGTCCTGCTGCTACTCTCACTCATGGTCTTTCTTCCAGCCTCACAGGCTGCTTTTCTGTTCGTAGTCTGCCTCCATGGGAAAGAGAAAAAAATGTGGACCCTCTTGGTGGACAAATTAGAGGAAGGATTTTGTTCTCTCAGCCTGGTGCCTTTTTATAGTACGCAACGTATGCAACTGAACACAGCAGTCCTGCTTTAAATACGCCAAGCCCCCAACAGACAAGATTTTGACAGAGTGTGGGCTCCGAGGGCAGATGGTGGGGAATCCCAGCTCTGCCACTTGCCAGCTGTGTGATTCAGGGAGGGTGACTCAGTCTAAAAGGATTGAGTGATTCCCACCTTGGCGGATGAAAAGTGCCTTGAGGATTAAATGAAATCATTGGTGTGCTGTGCTTGATCAGTGTCCCTCCCTGCCCCTGTGCGGCCCCAGAATCCCCACCTCCATTTCACAGCGAATCAATGATGTTAGCAGAGCATACGCATTTTTCTTTAAAAACAAAAAATGTTTAAAGTCTTCTGTCCGCTTCTCCTCACTACAAATGCTCCTCTCCATTTTTACGAAACAGTCTGGATGAAGTCTGACTCCTAATTTGTGCCCACCTCCTTCCACTCTTGCCTGCCCCTCCAAATGCTTTCAGGAGTCACAAGCAAACATTTTAAAAACTAAATCTGCTTATGTCATCCCACACCCCACCGCCTGCTTCAAACTCATCTTTCTGGTCTCAGACCAGATGTCAACAGTGCAAGAGCCCTCCAGGACTGCTCGGTCAATGGTAGCAGGACCCGGCTAATGACCCGAGATGGCCACCGCTGGTATGCCACGAGGGGAAATGGCCCAGAGCCCCCAAGGAAACTCACCAAGGGCCCGAGGGTAGTCTGGGCTAGGGGTCTGGTGCCTGTGCCAGCCCTGAACGTCACGGGGGAGAGCTATTGCAGCTAAGGATGTGACTAACACCTCTAATGGCATCTGTGCCCTGGCCCCGTGTTCTGCTTTGGGGTCAACGGCTAAGCAGGAGAGCTTGGGAAAAGGGAGCCACATCAGAGCCAAAGGGTGGGGAAAGGAAACAGGCTGTGCAGGATAGCCGTTCAACAGCGACACCGTGTGGTGGTGACAGGAGCAACAGGCTCCGGAGGTTGTAGTCACGACGACAGGCTGCACAGGATAGCTGTTCAACAGCGGCACCGTGTGGCAGTGGCGGAAACAACAGCCCAGCAGGTGGATCCACTCGGCCTGACCTTACTTAGGAGGCAAGATGCGCTCCCTTTGGACTGAGTAAACTCTAAGTACTCGTGGGAAGTGTGGCATGAGGGGTGTCCCCAAAAAGGGAGAAGGAGACTTTCTACTGAGAAGGGCGTGTGGGGGCTGTGCTGTCAGCACCGCAGAGCATGCTGGGTACAGACGGTGAACAAAAGAATGGACATGTAACAAGAAACAACACCATCACACAGAATTCCACAGAGAAAGCAGTGCTTTTTGGGGGGCGGGGAGGGGGGACTCAGACCTCGCAGGACGCTCATAATCCCTGAAATACACATCCCACGCTTTCTCAAGGAGCACAGTTCCTGTATGGAGGTCATTTCCGAATCTGAGTTCTGAGAAATTTGCAAGGGCCTCTGGTGCAAGGGCTGGAGAAAGGCAGCCTCTGCCCCACGGGCACGTCAGGAGCAGGTGCGGACAACCTCTCCCCTCCTGGCGCCCGCGGCCACGTCAGCCGTAGCGAACATCTGCACCGAAGAGCAGGAAATTCTAGGGAGAGAGGAGAACGCTGCCATCAGCGGGACGTGCGCCCTGGTTTGTGAGCACGGGGCTGCTGGGGTTTCTGAAGGAAACCTTGGGAGCAGCCTGCCCGATGGGAAGGAGAGCAGAGCGGGGCCTGTCTGCTGACAGAAAGGCAGGAGTGAGGGGGGGGGTGGGCCCTCGGGATGTCGCCGCCGGGGTCTGCGTGTCAGCGCCGTGATCCTATCAGCAGCCGCCCTGGCAGCTGTCCCCTCCCAGACATGGGTGGGGGACCGCGGGCTGCAGCGGAGGCCTTCATTTGTCATCCCTGCCTCATGGTAGCTCAAGGGAGCCTCCTTCCCATCAAGGCTGCAAAACCACTTCTCTTTGCTCCTTCCTGCCCTTCGCTCAGCATTTTCAGAAATGAAGAAATTACATGGTACCATGGAGTCGTTTTTTTTTTTTTTTTTTTAAGGATGAACTTGGTAAAACGTGGGGAGCATGGGGGGATGTGCGGCCTCTGCTTTCTTGGCTACTGTTCTGTAGTCTCAGCCCCATTGGTAGCCTGCCTGAAGACCTGGGGACTGGGGGTGAGGGAGGGCGGGGAATCTGGACGATGTGGCCAGGCCCCACGAAGGCCACGAGGTTAACAGGAAAGCCACTGAGCAAGTTAAGGAACGCTATAGTGGGGTGGCAGTGTCATTACCCAGTGGGCATGCTGGGTTAAGGGGCCCCAGGGCCGAGACTCCAGGCACACCAGCGAATGCACAAGTTGGGAGCATGGAAGAATCTAGAAGTGCAGCTGGGTCACTGGGTGGCACAAAGGCGGCTGCTGGCTTGGGGCAAGTGGGCAGGGAAAGCCAACAGTGGGGGAGGGCAGAGGCCTGGGCAGGAACTCTGGAG